TTCTTTAACCTTGTAATATTTTCCATTTTTATGTTGATTCACATTTTGTTAAATAATCAGATTTTGAAAAACAATGGGGGTAGTAAATACGAGCGTGGAAGCAAAAAGAAAATGCTAAAACCGCGATTTATATGAAAATTCTTGTCGTTGGTTGTAAATGCCGTTTCTCGGGCAATTCAGCTTTAATAAAACGATTTAGGGGTTGGGATGAGATGAGGGTAGGTGTCGCATAAGCAAACAGTGCCTCTCTGTCTTTTATATTAAATTCAATATCCCGCAAAAATATTTCTCGCTCCGAGCCATTTTCTGAGACGGAAAGAAAAACGTGGCGGAGATGTGGGAGGTTGTGAGGGTGAGTGTTGTAAGGGCCTCGAGACATAATTGAAAAGCGTGGAAGGAAAAATAATGGGAAGTTCGAGCTGGAAACAAAACACCTTTTAATTGTTCCCATTGTTCGGCTGGGAAAGAAGGAGTGTGACTAGAGTAGTGGATGAGGAGGATGAGGCTGTGTCTGGCTTACCGGGAGAAAGCTACAGGATGAGATAACAACAGAGGGTTGTGTTGTGTGGTAGAAATTAATTGCAGTACACAATCAATCCATTTGCTGGATTCGGATTATTTCGGTCGGCCGGAACAGGAGAATGAATGGACCGACCTCAGGTCGGATGGGAAAAAGTTTCGCCGCAAAGAAAATGTTTTTCTTTTGTGTGTTGTTTCGAATAGCAAATGGAAAATTGGCCGAAATTCGGACAACAAAGGGGATGCAAGAAAGGCAACGAACAATGTTTTGTTAAGCGCATTAATCAAAACAGGAACAACAACAACAAGTCACTTATTTTTGTAGCTACAACTTTTCTAAATGGACAATATATTAGTTTAGCCTAATTGAATGATTCAAATATTCTTCAATCAAGACTATAAGTTTACTTAAATGTAAAATTAACAACTTAAATAAAAAGTAGCATAAACCTGATAATTATTAAATATATCAGTTAAAGATTTCTGAAAGATTAAGAATTTCACTATAATTACCAGTAAACGATTAACCGGTTTTACCGTGATGAAAATTTAAATACTTCATTAAGAGATTTTGGTTTATCTTAGTTGAAGAATATAACTTCTTGATATTTTCCTATAAGATACTTTTGCTTTTGAGTCTTACATAATTATTATAGTTGTAGGAATATAATGATTTGTAACAATTCAATTCGATTCTTCAATCTTAGAAATTCTCTTTAAATTAAAGTATTCGAAAAATATTGTTTTAGATTTTGTTGGAATGATACAAAACTGCGCGTGTCTCTTTGTTTTTTTTTTAATGATTTGAATTTAAACACTTAACTTTGAATTGATGTTGTTTTTGGATAAAAACAAGAGTCTAAAATTGAATGTCTTATACTTTATTTATAGGTTGTCTTTGATTTGTTACTAAACCCAACAAAGATAATTAAGTGTGTGATTGTTGAATATGTAAATGTGTTTTATCGGGTCATAAATAGTATCCAGATCTAAAACAAGACGCATCAAGCGAGAGGATGAAACTACTTAAACCCACCTGAGCATATTGATTGAATGCACTCGGCCAGAAGAAAACTGGTTGCTCCCCACATCCATTCTAATCCGGGTCGGACACATCTACACACTCACACTAAAACTCAACTATTTTCCCTCTCGCTTTTGGCGCCGTGGAACACGCAAACTTGGCCCTAAATCTTTTATTGGGCGGACACTCAGACGGAATATTTTAGATGAACGCAGCCACAGGACACGGCTGAATATCGAGCGAAGGATACATGTCCTCTTCGCTCACACTCACACAAAAAAAACTATCCCATTCCAACCTCTACAACCCCGATCTCCTGGGCGCGCTAAAAGCGACTTGAAAAGGTAATAAATTATTTATTGCAGACGATACACTCTTTCGATCGATTCCGAGGATGGAAAATAAAAAGAAACGTGCAAGAAAAAGTAGCAGTAGGAGAGAAAATACTGCGAGCTAGAAAGTGAAGAGCGTGCAACGAGCCAAAGGGGCGTTGATAAAAGCTCCTTTGACTTTAACATACGAAAGAATGAGATATGAGTGGTCGCGTTAATGGCAATTTTATTCCAATTTATCCAGAAATAGGGCGAACGTACGTTGTGGAAGATGAGAGTATAGAAGAAATACGAGTTGTTTTCCGATGGGGAATTGAAACTGAGACCGGAAAATCGTCGTTGCTCATGCAAATATTTCTGTACACCAAACGACGGCGACGAAAGAAGGCAGCTTTCGTTTGTTATTTATGCATCGGCTCGTGTGTTATTAACCCTTCGGGGCCCTTCATAGAACGATACTTGCTTAACACAGAGCGGCACAACACCAGCTTAGTACTTCTGCATGTTTTATGAAGCGCAAACAGTTTCTCGGTAAACCAAGAACATTGTTTTCGACGGAATAGAAAATTACTTTTAAAAGCTTACGACTCGTGACATCGCTACAATAAACAACCTAAACTCAGAGATTGTTACGGAAGGCAATTTTATATTTGTCTTCACGGTTCAAATTATATTACTTTAATAAAAACATCATAAACAATATGTCAAGAAATTTTTCTCAATAAAATGTATTTACACTAATTTGACAATATTAAAGTACATATGAAATCTGTCATGTAACAAATTAACTTGTACTTGCGAAGCCTAAATAATTAAATATCTCTTCAAACTTGGAAATGTAGTTCAAATAAAGCCATCTATTATTTTAACTAATTAAGTAACATATCTTATTCATGTTATTGACAACTTGTATAAGCACTTGAGAAGCTTAAAGTAACTATGTTAGTAATTTACGTGTAAATATCCCATAGTTTCTAATTGGAAATTGCAATTAACATTCTACAAATTCACGTGATTTTTCAATATATTAAGTTCATATCCTTAACAGCCGCAAGTACTTGTTCGTTTGACAAGTTACATGTTAGTATCATAGCCTTGAGAACGAGGTCTATTTTTTAATTTTCAGTTCATTATCAATTTGTTATTTTGCATAATATACGAATATATTCATATATAAAAAAAAATACTTTCAATATTATATTATTTTCAATTATATGAATACGTGTTTGTTTTAGTTGTGTACAAAGCAATGATATTTTTAATTGTAAACTTTACTTTTTAAATTATATCAATTAAATACAAAAAGTTAGTATGAAACTTCTGAAAAAAAACAGTGTTATTCTGAAAACTCATTCATCATACAAAATCATAGCATTCAATGATTAATGTACTTTTCTAAAAAAAAAAGAATCGATGTCACGAAGAGGCATCTGTGGAACGGAAATTAATGTTTTTTTTGTGCTTTTTCACCACCGTACGCCGATTCCATTGCGAGATGATAGGGAAATGTGGGTCGATCCGGTGATTTTTTTTTCTCTCCTTTCTGTTTGTTACTAAATTACATTTATTGATTGGGTTTCGGATTCCAATATATATGTGCCGAGGCTACTAAGTCCAACAAGATAACGAGTTCTGAGAAGGCTAAAAACAAGGTTTACAGTCAAATAGCTGATGGGCATCGAGACGAATGCAATAAACATTTATTGTTTGTTTGTTTGTTTTTTAAAGAAAAAACACAAACATAATTAACTTTATTCGATGATATCTGTTTATTTGCGTTTCGCGTAATAAATGAACTGTTTATAGACTGAAAATTAAATAAACTTATATCTTTCACTAGTTAACATCGATAATAAGAAATACGAACAGTAGTATTTGTACATAAATCTGGAAATAATGAAGCTTGTTAAATAACATTTTCAATTCTCTTTAACTCATCTCGTCGTTATTCTCTGTTTATATCCTTTATTTTGCGTGGATTAAAGCCGCCACTCTATGCTTTGTGCACCTCGTATTTGTTTATTTTTAATTAGTTCTTGAAATTAAAACGTTATTTGTACAACCTCATGTTTCCCCAAAACGAATGTGAAAGCTTTTCGCAAAGGGACGTGAACCTCGGATAACATCCGGATTAGGTTTACTCAGCTGGATGCCATTCATATTTTGATATTTGCTTTGAAATAACCGCTGTTGGCCAAAGAGCGGGATAGAAATGGAACAAGAGAAAGAGAGGATTAGTTAAAATAAATTGCTCGTGTGATTCTAGATAATTTAAACGCGCTTTTACTATGATATAATAGAGACAAAGTTCGTGTTTGTTGATACACACTCAATAGGTTAATTCAGTTGTTAACACTCCCTGTTTTCATGTTCGAATTACATTTAACTACGTATGTATACAGTTCATTTTGATAATCCTAATTAATTATTTCAGGATAATAATTCGATTAGTAAGCAAGTTTGTGTTAGTATAAGGTTTAAGCTTAATGTTTCGAGAAGTAATTTATGAAAGAATTATTTTTACTTTCTATTTGGATTAGTGCACTTCATAAAGTAAGAAGTTACTCAGATCAATAATTTAAACTTCCTAATAAAACAGATAATTTAACTAAAATGAAAATACCTGACTTCACAATTTAGAATGTAAAATAATATAGTAAAAATCTATTTAATATTGAATGGTAAGTGTTGTGTATGAAAATTGTTAACAAGATTAGTAAAGTGGGAATATCCAGCTTAAACATCTGGGGCTTCAGAAACCACCGTAACTATAATCATTACATTTTTAAGATGTAGTAAGCGAAGCTTAGGCCCATTTCGCTTATCTTCTCGAAAACCCTCCACCGTTAATGCTATTTTCCCACTGACCCTAAACCATTAGACAATGTTACTATTTCCTAGTTTACTCCAAATTGTGTGTTAAGGACACTCAGTTGTAGGACCAGTAATAACATTGGGAATTAGGTTTAGCCATTAACAAAATACGTTTACATGATGTTAATATCTATTAAAATAGGAAATGTTCTAAACTTTCTTTGAATTCGAATAGTTTTTGTTATAAATCTTTATACTAAGATGAATACAAGAATACTAAAGACTAATAAATACCTATTTTTTGATTTCAGATGAAGTGGTTGGTGCTTTTCGCGTTTACCGTCGTATTCCTCGTGAGCCTGACAGTGGCCGACGGCGAGATTTGGGAGGAGGACGACCATGAGGTCCTCATCAGGAGCGAAAGAGGTGCCAAGAATAGGGGTATGCGTAAGTCATCTCATCATCCATACTAACAAACAAAGAAAAAAAATAATCAATTACTAACACTCATGATGAGGTAGCTTATTACCTAAAATCGATGTGTTTTACGTTTTATTTGCTCACATTGTGCACGTTCCATCTTATTTTAGATGTCTCCTTTGTTCTATCTTATTATTAGTCTCTTTGTTTTTTTTTTTGGTGTGAATGTGCAACGCTGCGAATGCACCCTGCTTAAGATTCCAACGGAGTCCTTGCGCAACCGAAACCGCATTACATAATATCCAGTCTTGAACTCATCCCGGAATTCAAATGACGTCGCCCGAACAATAGTTTCCCAACTCCGACCGACCTCTGGAGATGATTTAAAATCGTAATTGAAACGATAATTTATTGCGAGCTTTAGCTGGTTGGATTTTCGGTGACCAAATAAAAAAAAAACGAATTATGTCATGAAGCGTGCAAATTGGTGGTACGAGTACGCGACTTTTTTTGAGGTCACAGGTAAATGGGGTCATCTAGAAATAAAGAGTGTGAAAAAAAAACGAGACCAAAGCCCATAATAATAACTTAACGGTAAAAGGTTTCTAAAAAGCCTTTAATCCTTATAAATTCATCAAAGAACGCTGACATCCCAGCAGCGAAAGGACACAAAAAAAAAGAGTCCACCCTTAAATCCGGCTTAATTAAATTATAAAATTTTCCGTTCGTTAATTACACAGTGGTATTTAATTTAAAGCCAACGAAGCGGTAGCCACAAAGTGCGGCTTCGTAGCGAAGGGATTCCCCGGAATTAAATAAAAGAATTGTCGGGCATCGATCAAAAATTGTGCAGCAGTTTTTCCGGTTTTTTGACGCAGTGCAAGGGGTTGATCAGATGGCGGAGAAAAATATCGTCGATCCACTCGCGCGATTGCCAAAATACATTTTTCATAAATTTCAAGCCGAGGGCTGAAATCGATGAAGAGCGAGAGCACATACAGAGGGTAAAAAAATAATATATATAACGAACAGTGTGTGTGAGAGTGTTTGCGGGGGATGGATGGAAGGTACGTTTTCCGTAATTGGATCGAACGCATGAGACGGATGGAGAAGGGAAATGCTGGGAATTCAATATTTCAGGGCAAAAATGCATTTGAATCATTCATTAGTTTTAATAAATAAAAGTAAAATAGAGTGGATTCGTCTCTCCGAATTTTGTATTTCCCGGATGAAAGTTGAGGGGTGGATGATGATAATCCGATGCGAGGATTCAAATGAATGCAGATTTAATTTCCCGTCCGATGCTTTTCAATGCTTATCTGCACTGTACAGATTCTATAAAAGCCAAACATATTTTTAAGTAAGTAATTCATTCGAGAATTAAGTTTTGCAAGAAGTTTCAAACTAAGTTAAACTAAGAAATCTTTAAACCTCGGACATTAATATAATAATAATATACATTAAGTAAATTATTATATTTTTCTAATATTATTCAAAGTTTTATTGCCAATAATAATAATAATAATATAAAAAGATAAGCTAGGAAATTATTACAGAAATAAAGGCAATTTCAATTTGACAATTATCATTACAAAGAACAAAAGTTTTTCACGAGACTTGCAAAACTATTGCCGTCTGGGAGAATACAATTGTAATTTAAATAATTAACTTTTGCGCTCCATAAAAAGCAGAGCTTAATTAAACATAAGCTTTTTTTCTTTTGCATCCTCCGTTCTTCCTCGATAATTTCGCTTTGTAGCAGTTGCATTGCTGAATGCATGTTCCACAAGTTTCAATCTCTTTCCTTCCATGATTCTGCGCCAGTGTATCTATCTTTCGGTCGTACAGTCGACATGATGAGTTTTAAACTCAATTGAGGGGGAGCTTTTTCCTCGTCGAGATTTTACAGTAATTTACATCAAAGTGTTTCCGTATGTGGAATGTCTCTCTCTCTCTCTCTCTCTTCATCGCCCACCCCCAAAACCCTGCATTTATCGCCCTTTCCTCTCTCTATGTCTCTTTATCTCGCTCTCTCCTGTACATCGAATAAGTTTCCAGCTAGTAATTATGGATCTCGAACATGCTAGAGCGTGTGCAGTGGAAATTAATACCAGTTTCAGGAAATTGATTTTCTTGTGTCTGATAGAACGAACGAACGTTCGGGGCTTAACTCAGCGACACACAATTGCCCTATATCACAACACGTACAAAACTAATGATTTAAAACGGCAATATGTGGGATTAGGATATCCTGGTATATCGTCATTAACGCTGGATGAGTCTTATTTATTTTCTATACAGAAACATGTCAAGTGGTAAATTGAAAAGTAAAACAAAAACATACCCACTTTATTAATAAATAAATACAAAATGAGAAATTCTCTTTTCATCTCTCAGTTCTTCTATAGCAGTGATTCCCAAAGTGGTCTATATCGACCCCCAGGGGTCTATGACAACCTGCAAGGGGTCTACGTCAGGGAAAAAAAATATTTGGGGGTACATGAAATGAAAATGGGGGTCCACAATGGGGGACAATGAAAATCCCGATATTCGAAATCCCGACGTTCGAAATTCCGACTGTATCGAAATCGCTACTGTATCGAAACACCGACATTCGAAATCCCGACTATATCAAAATCCCGACAACCATAATCCAGACTGTATCAAAATTCCGACTTATCGAAATGCCGACAGTGTCTTTTATTGTAAATGATCGACAAAACAGAACATTAATGAGTTATCTTCGCGGAATAGCGATTTTATTCATTTATGTATTATAATATAGATAATTTTAAAAATTCATTGCTCGAGTTTTTTATTTCTAGAATATAACGGGGGGAGTTGAGATTAGTTATTTATTGTATTTGATTTCAATGAATTATTCATAATAAAATAATTTTAAAAATTCATCGCTCGAGTTTTTGATTTCTAGAATATAAAGTTATTTATTGTATTTGATTTCATTGAATTATTCATAATAATTTATTGTTATTAATATTAAATAATAGTTAAATAATAATAGATGGTGACTACGTTTCGGAATAATTTAAAAATGTTATTGTATACATTATAATAATAAAAGACACTGTCGGGATTTCGATACAGTCGGGATTATGGTTGTCGGGATTTTGATATAGTCGGGATTTCGATACAGTCGGGATGTATATAGACCAGATCTCAACATACACTGAACTTGTAATAACCTACACATAATGATATACCAGTATCATCTTGTTACAAGCATACGCACAGTCTCAGAGCAAAGATCTTAATAATTATAAAGATCTAAGGGGTCTACCCAAAACCGAAAAACATGGCAAAGGGGTCTACGACACAAAAAAGTTTGAGAACCTCTGTTCTATAGACTTAGTAAAAAAAATATGTGTATATAGAACCAGAAGCCTTTTTCTTCTCCAATGGAACAATCTTCTTGTAACAGTCTTTACATCATGTAAAACCAATTTTTTCTTAACTTATTTATTCTTTCTCAAAATGCATTGAAACTGTATATTTTCATCTAGTTCGAATTATCATAAAATTAATTAAGAATAAATACAGTTAAAGAGTCAAAGTTGAAAAAAAAGTATTTTGTTATTAGTACAGACAAATTTATAAAGCAACGTGGCAATAATTGCAAAACCTTTTCCTCTTGTTGCTAAGCAAGTCTCGTAGACATCCTGCGGATGTCTGGATGGGATCCTTGAACAAAGTTGTAGTGCCGTGAAGAAGTTCAGAACAAAAATGTTTTTTTCACGGGATTAAGTTTATTTAGTGAATTCCCTTTCGCAAACATTTTTCGTTTGGTTCTTCTTCGTACTACACCAAATTGCATTCATTATTTCCCGATAGAAAGTTTACCCCTCGTTCTATCCAATTTAGCAAGCCAAAATTATGTGACCTGAACGTGACACTTCACCCGCCAAAAAGGCAACGTCCAGCACAAAAATCAATCGGTAATTGCAGAGCCTTCGACTACAACCCTTTATTTCACAGCAGTGTCCTATTCGTCCTTCCCTCTTCATTCCTCTGTGATTTATCAGTGTTTTCGTGGGGATTTAGTGTCGGACCATTTCTCGGTCTTCCCTCCCTTGTCTCCGTAAATGTTTTCGGAATGGCACTCATTATTCACATGCGCGTCTTATTTACTCCCTCTAAGTTGCCTAAATGCTAAAATCCCAGGACACTTTCATCCCTCGTGAAAACTCAATTATATAACGATAATTGTTTACTCCAAATGCATTTGAAGGATCGAATCCTTCCTCATCCGTTTACTTTTTTTTCTTCGATTCGGTTTAATTCCATTTCGAAATCGAAGAGATCCGCACTTCGTCTTCGGGGTGTGCGCGCCCTTCTTCAGGTCGACGTGACGCAACTTCCGAATCGGTTAAGATAAATTTAATTACTTTTATCTTCGCTTCAGCCTTCCCCCCATCCGCCACGTCCAAATTAGAAATTATAACCCGGTAAATTACCCTTAATGGAGGCATTAAGTCAAAATAAATTATAATTCATATAATTTTCGGCCGTTTTAATTAATTCCCTAATAGCATCATCGGGCCCATCAATTAACCACAGATTTATGCAGATTTACACTTTCAAATACGTGCTTATACCAAAATCTATCACCTATACTTTTTAACAAATTGCAGCTTTACTCGATGAAGATAAATCTCACTGTTTTATTCAAAACAGAACAAAAATGAATTACGTAAATTATTCTTAATTACATCAAAATAGAAGACAATCTAATTTAATTTTTTATTTTTTATTCTGAACATGAAACTTATTCATTTCCATTTGCATATCATTACAATTGCTGAACATACTTGAGCAAGTAAATAAAAAAAAATCGATTGTAAAGCAATTTTAATTCAGCACGATCCATCAATATTACGTAACATCAGCAGCGGATTATTAGGTTTTCAGATTGGCCCTTGAAATTGCAATAATGCGCTTCGCATGAAAATTGTATGAATTCAAATTACGTTGGATGCAGGGATGTATTATGATAATGTGTGCGC